TTTAAGCTAGATGGTAAAACCCAGTGGCCTATACAAAAACTTTTCCACTAATTCTCCAAAGTTTAAAACTTCTATCACCACACCGGCAAATGGCAGGATGTCTGTCACCTGTATTCGGGCTTTTTTAAGGACACGTCCCTTCCTCCCCTAACTTCTCTCTCTCTCACTCCATAGGCCCTTAAACTAGGGACAGCTCTCCCACCTAACAAGGTCTCTCAAACCAGACTGTCCTACGCCCCCACCGGCAGGACCGCCCACTGGATTCCCCCCCCCCCCCCACGGCCACCACCCACGACAATGGCCCTCGACTGCCTCAGCCACAGTGGTTGCTTCTAATTTACCCTCTAACCTCTTTAACTTCCAGGGACTACAAAGATGCCTCTCCTCTCTCCCCGCCTTCCTCTTTTCTGTCTGTTGGTCTACATTCCTCACATTCCTCGCCAACCTCAGTCACAATTTACAATCCAATCATAGGGTTTTTTTCCTCCAAAAATCTCACTCTAAAAAATCAACTAATAACACATTTTTTCCCCAACAGTGCATGCCCCTCCCTCTACTCTCCGTCAAGCTAAAAAAAAAAAAAACAAAAAAACAAAAAAAAAAACAACTATAACAGCCCACGGAGCGAGTGAGCACACTGCCCTTTGCTCACCTTCTTTCCCCTCACTCCCCGCCCCCCACCCCAGCCACCCTTGCTGGCACTCTCCCGGTTCCAGGACTTATACATTGTCAGCGCTCCCCTATTGTGCTGTGTCTACCCTTATACTTTGCTCAGTTTGCTTGCTTCCACTCAAACCTGATAAGCACTGTAAGACCTAAGCTCTTATTTATGTCTAAATAACAGCTTTTTAAAAACCTTTTCCAAATTCCTCTTATAAGAGCTCTGCTAATTGACTTACAAAAGTTCTGACTACTCTCTCCTAATTACAAACTTAAAAAGGTCATCATAGTTTAACCTGGCCAAAAATATATTTGAGTGCACTCTCATTTTATAAAGATGTCCATGTGTCCTGTACATACTTGTTTGTTTTTATTTCATTCTGTAAACAGCTGTTCCTTTTCATTTGAGCTCTAAAATATAAACTTAAACGCATGCTTTCTCCTGAGTTGCCAGCTGGTCTAGGTAATATCAAAAATTTATAATTAAATAAAAACCATTAAAATGAAAAAGATTGTTGGACAAAACTCTTGATTGATGAATAGAGGGTGGCCAACCTTTGTTCATCAATAGAAAGCCCCCAATAATTTGGTTATTGGGCCGGGGAGATGGCTCAGTAGGATAAGTGCTTGACTGGCAAACACAAGGATCTGAGTTCAATGGGGGGGGGGGGGATTGGTTATTGGTTAAAAGACAAAGTTTTTACAAAAATTAAAATAAGGTTTTCTCATAAAAGATGCTTAATATATTAAACATATTTATGCCTTTTAAGTACTGTATGCTACAATATAAATTTTCTTTCAGATGTAAGCATATGCCTTTCTCTTATGCTCCAGGTATTTATAAGAGGTTCCTGTCAAGCCAACATGAGGTCATCAGCCAAATGATAATTTTCTAACTAAAATGTATGTGATATATATCCTACATATGTGCTGTTATATTTAGAGATGCAGTTTCCTGTCAAGCCAACATGAGGTCATCAGTCAAATAATTTTATAACTAAAACTTATGCAATATGTATCCTATGTACGTTTAAAGATGCAAACACAAAATGGGGATTTCATGACTGTTATGCTATACTGCTATGTATGACTATTGATGCCAAAAGATCTCTACAAAATTATATAACTGTTGTCCATTAACATCCTACAGGGATTTAACTGCTAAAATGTCCATGGTTGATAAGAAAAAATAGTTCTCTGGTTACACTTTATATTTCAAGGTACTTGATACTCAGATAAATTCTAATAATCAAGTGTATTGCTCCAAACTAAGTAATACTGATGTAGACCCAGATTCTCTTTAAGGCACCAATTACTATTAATTCCTATTTAATATACCTATCTGTTCCTGATGTTCATGCCAAACTAAAAAGACAAATCTCGGCGCTCAAACTCCACAGGAAAATGTACTTAATCTAACTTTCCATGTCTTCAATAATAGAGATCAAAATTAACTGTACACACTGCCAACTTTTGGCTGCAACACTGAGGACTCCCATCAAAGCAGGACCTTGACAAGGTAATGCTGAGCCTAAACAATGCTGCCGCCTGAGCCAAGTGCGGTGAAGAAGGACACTGTGCATGAGCCTGCCCCAACTTGCAGCCATCACTAGGACATCTACAAGCCTGAGGGTCACTGGAAATACAACTGCCCTGTCCGCCAGAGCAGGTAAGTCATCCAATTCCCTGCCCTCACAGGAAACCTCACTATGACCAGATCCATATACTTGAGCTGCTTGGTCTTGCCGCTGAAGAGCAACAACAGAGCTTGGGTTCTGTGGCCCACATCGAGGCACCTTTGTCGAGTCCCGAGTCTCACTGGATCTCAGGTAAAAAAACTCTTTTCTTGCTGACATGGAGATCACATATAGTGTACTTCCTGAGTTCTAAAAACGTTATATTAGCTCTAGCCTCCATAGTGGGTGTTGATGGCTGACCTACATGACCCCTTCAGACAGGCCCATTCTGTGCTAACTTCAGACACTGTTCTTCAATCTTAATTTCCTTGTGATCCCAACATGTCCGATACATCTCAAGGGGAGAGACCTCCTCCAAAATCTCCACTTCTCTCTCACCTCTCCCTCCACAGTGTACATCCTACAAACCCAACCTCAATGTACAGCTAGCTCCTCCCTCCCTCTTTCCTTGTCAACCATATGCTCTGGGACACTTCCAGTCCCACTCATGCCACACATGCTATTCCTAGACTAGTGTGCCTCAGCGATCCCACAGTGTTTCTGTACATTCCCCAATAGCCCCTAAACACCAAGAGACTCAAGCCCATCATTTTCTACCTCCTTACCAATAGTTTTTTTAAAAGTATCCACTTGGCTATATAATAACCTCATTCTTCCTGTACTCAAATCCAATGACCTTTTTGCCTTCTCATAGACTGATCCAGACATTCCGATCTCAACAGCTCACATAGAGTCCTACCTCAAAGGTTCAGAAGAGATAGTCCTCACTTCTTTAGCCAAGCCCTTGCTGCTGATCTTGAGACCCTTGATCTCTAGCCCAGCCACTCCTTCAATATATTGATGACCTCTTCTTTGCTCCCCCTCTCATGCCCTGACCCTAAGACAAACAGCTACTTATCTCAATTTTCTGTCAGGATCAGATTATACACTCTCTCCCTCAAAGGCTCAGATAACTTCACCAAAAGTCAAGTATCTAAGACCCTCATTCCCACTACTCATGCAATCACTGCCCACCACAAAATAACAGGTTTTATCCTTCCTTGGTTTAGCTAACTTCTTTCATCTCTGGGTTCCCAATTTTGCTTCCCTAGCAGAGCCCCTATATAGAGCATCAAAATGTTCCTTGTGAGAACCCCTAGACCTGACTGCTCCTATATATCTCCCCTTTTGCAAGCTACAACAAGCCCTCCCAAGGGTCCCAGCTCACTTTACCCAAACCAACTCAGCCCTTTACCCTATGTACTTCTTTTCAAGGTCACAATACAGTGAGCATTTTACGACATAAAAAGAGACCATTTTTTTAGGCAGTAGCCTACCTTTCTAAACAAATATAGACAGTACAGTTGGTAGGTAAGACTCCATGTCTCCACACAAACACATAAGAGAGAAAAAGTTGACTTAAACAAAATACAGTTGTGTTACAGTACTACCAATGGCCCTGACTCCCTTTCCTCACATTGATGCCAAAAAGCTAAAGATCGATACTCCTCCTCTTCAGCATGGTCATGGTAAAATGACACAGATTATAGACACCCCCCCCCACTTCCCCTCCTATGTCCTTTAATCATGATGACATGTACTCATAATGTGCTGTCTTTTTAAACTTTTTTCAAGGTTTCTTCAGTATCCAATGTGAGCTGTCACTAACTATAAACTTCTAGTCCTAGCTGAGACTCCTGGCACTAACTTCTACATGGGCATAAACCATCATCCTGTCAACTCCCCTCACCCCCAAGACGACGCCCCAGTTCAGCAGGAAGCAGTCTAAGAGAGACATCACCCCCTTTATGACAACCAAAAGATGGGAATGATAGGTTCTGGCCCTAGTAAGAATTGCTGAATTATTATGGTGGTCATCTAATATGGATGAAGCCCTTAAAACAACAGCTCACCTTCCCAGAGACCACCTCCCCTCTTCTCCAACTCAGCCCAGGATGCAGTTTCCTTTCACCTTTCTCTCCACCTCAGGCCAGGCCCCAATCAGCTCCTCAGGTATATCTAAACTTCCCCCTCAAGCCCCACCCCTGGCAAAGGCCATAAAAGCCTCAGCCTCCTTTTGTTCCAATCCAGAGAATTCCTTATCTTCCCAAGTTCTCTCCCTGTCCTCTAAGTCAATGAAGTCCCTTTCCCCTTTCCTTCTGCGTGTTTCTCTGCTGCGACACCGTTAAAACCTATCACCAATCACTGTTAATAAAAAGGATGTAGAACATCTTAGAAACATATTTTAAAGAAAATCTGCTTGCTAAACTTCATTTTATTTATTTGTTTTTTTGTTTGTTTTTCTTATCTTGCCTTACTGGGGATTAAACCCAGGGCCTTTTCACTAAGTTAAAACCCTGGAATGTTTTTTAAATTTTGATTGTCTTACTAAATTGCCCAGACTAGGCTGAAATTTATGGTCTTCTGGTCTTAGTCTTCTAGAGTTCTGAGATTACAGGAGTGAATCACCATGCATGGCTTTAATGTTTTTCCTACAAACTGTCTTCTTTAATTCAAAATAAAATCATTTAATATAGTACAATGGATATAGAACCAACTAATCATTATTAATTGCTACTGTCTACAAGGGAAGTATTCCCTGGGCACCATATTGTTATTCATGTCTTAGTAATACAGAGGCTATTAAAATGTGTAAGAACTTACTCTTCTGCTTGCCTCCATCAGAAGACCCTGACTCAACAGTAGCATTTCCTGAAAGACTTCGTACTTCCTGTTCATTTGTCCCATCTTGGCTCTTCTTCCTTCTTGTTTTTGTTTGATTTTGGTCTTCTTCCAATACAACTTCTGCATCCTGCCCTGATAAAGTCAATGAGTCTTCTGCAACTGTCTGAGCAGCCCTCTGAGATCCTTCAGGGTCTGAAATTTTAGTACTGACACATTCATCTGGGTCATCATCCACAACTTCATTCATAACTTTTTTCACTAAAAAGAAAAGAAATGGTCATAAATATATGAACAATCTATACAAAAATTCTTAAAGGTAAAGGAAAAATACTCAAAGGTATACTCTGTAAATATTATTTGTATTTAAATAAAATTGAAGACAACCCGAAATAGGAAATGCTTAAGTTATAAGAAATTTGTGCTACAAAAATCTTTTCAGGTAAGGACTGGGAGAAAGATCACCAGCACTACCAAAGGGAGGAGGTCCATGCAGGCAGTAGTAAGAATGAGAAATGTACTTAATGAGACTTTAACATGTCTAAAATATCAAGTGGCATACATCTGTACAGATGTATGGCGATAGATGGCTACATACATGTGACCCCATTTTGATTACACAGTAACAACCATACATACTCTAAGACACCAAAAAATGCACAGAAAAGTCTAGTAACATTCCTCAAAAATCTAAAAATTTTACTTTGTGTTTTTAATAACAATCCCTTAAATAATTATTTTAATTATTTTTATTTCTCTGCCTATTAAAATATATCAATAGCCAATGCATCATGAAAATATGAAATAAATAAAATACAAAAAAAAAAAAAAAAATAGAGATCACTGTAATCCTGGTATGGCAATGCACACCAGCACTCCAGAGGCTGAGGAAGAAGCTACAGTGAGTTTCAGACCAGCCTGAATACACAGTGAGATCGTGTCTCAAAAAAAAAAAAAGGGAGGCCAGGGAAATGGCGCAGTGGAATAAACACTTCCCTGGCAAGCACAAGGGTCTGAGTTCAATCCCCAGTTCCACCAAAAAAAGAAAAGAAA